AGTGCTCCCCCAGGCACGCGCCCCCAATCCCCGGGCAGTGCTCCCCCAGGCACGCGCCCGCAATGCCGCCCCCAGGCACGCGCCCGCAATCCCCGGCCAATGCCCCCCCAGGCACGCGCCCCCAAGCCCCAGGCACGCGCCCCCAGCTCAGCGCTCACCGGCAGCTGCCCGGCGATCACCGGCCCCGCCCCTCCATCTTGCTTTTCCGCGTGCCGGTCACCCGACGCCCAGTCACGTGACGCCCGGCTCAGCTGACTCCTTCTCCCGCGGCTCCCTCGCCCGGCTTCTCCAGCCTGCGCGTGCGCAGCAGGGGGGTTGCTGTGCCCCCTGGCGGCCGGAGCTGGCGCTGCGCAAGCCGAGCTAGCAGAGCTAGCCCCAGCCCCGCGAGGGAACCAGGAGCACAGGGGAATCTCTGCTGGGTCCCCTGCCTGGGGGCGCTTGCAGGGGGGCTCCCCGGCATGGCCTGTAACCCAGCCCTCCCTGCAGTCAGTGGGAAAGGCACATGCAGCCTGCTCCCCAGGCCCTGGTGCTGCTGGCCTCCCCACACCTGCAAGGAACAGCCAGGCCTCAGCCCGTCAGCAGACCGGCTGCCTGGGGCCAAGGTTCATCTCTTTGCAGTTCTGGGTCTTCGCTCGTTGGGGTTTGACAACCTCGAGGCTTCCCCGTTCCAAGCTTTGCCCCACACCCGGGGGTAGGGGGGATGAGAAGCGTCCTTTGGCAAGGAAAGCTGAGATCCCGCCGGGCGTTGGTGTGACTCCAGGACCTGGCCCCACAGAGTCAAGAGTTGGCAATGCTGCCCTGCCCCCCGTTGTGGGAAGAAGATGCGGGTGCAGCATGGAGCCAGAACTCAGCAGGAGGAGACATGCCCACTGACAACATCAGGGATGTGTTTGCAGGAGCTGCAGGTTTAGCGGTGCTGGGCTTATGAATCCTGCATCAGCTTCTCACATAAATGTGATGCTCTGTCACCCCCGCGCTCACGTGGCTGTAACAAAAGCCACCACTACACTTGGCATGTTTCACTATCAAGGGCTCAGAGAAAGGAGCGTGCACCACCCAAGGGGCTAGAGGGGCAAGCGTGCACCAGGGACACATAACCAAGCTGGGGCCCGGGTCTGGGCAATACCAATGATGGAGTACGGGGAGGAAAGCATGCACGGGGCAGCCTGGCTAATGGTATGTTCTGGGCACTGCAGGTCAGAGCCTGAGTTGCACCAGGCGACACCTGAATCGGAGAGACTGTGGAGTAATGACCCTGGGGCATGCGTCAGAGCAGGGGCACAGTGGTCTGGGGAAACGTCTAGTGAGAGCAGCTGCTGGGAAATGCTGCCCCGTACGGGGAAGCTGGGGGAGAATCCTCCAGGCAGTCTGATAAATGCAGATTGCCTGATGCCCAGGGCCCTTCCGAGCCCAGCGGTGTATTAAGAGGGGGATTTTGCACCTCCTTACTGAGATCCTTTGATACAGCCGTGTGGGTGCCCAGGACGAGGGAACGTTGCAGGTTCAGCATGAGATGCACTGACAGCAGCATGGGATAGGACGGGTGGGCAAACTTTTTGGCCTGAGAGCCACATCTGGGTATGGAAGTTGTATGGCGTGCCATGAATGCTCACAAATTGGGGGTTAGGGGGCAAGGGCTCCGGCTGGGGGTACGGGTTCTGGGATGGGGCTAGGGATGAGCGGTTGGGGGTTCAGAAGGGTGCTCCAGGCTGGGAGCGAGGGGTTCGGCGTGTGGGAGCGGAATCAGGGATGGGGCAGGAGGTTGGGGCATGGGAGGGGATCAGGGGTGCAGGTTCCAGGCAGCACTTACTTCAAGCAGCTCCCAGAAGCAGCGACATGTCTCCCCTCCGGCTCCTACACGGAGGCGCAGCTCTGCGCAGTGCCTGTGCTGCCAACGGGCGCTGCAGGTGCAGCGCTTGGGGTAGGGGCAGCGTGCGGAGCCCCCTGGCTGCCCCTACACATAGGGGACATGCCGCTGCTTCCGGGAGCCACACAGAGTGAGGCAAGGCCCAGACCCCGCTTCCTGACTGGAGCACTGGAGTGGAGCAAGTCCCGGACCCCGCTCCCTGGTGGGAGCTCACGGGCCGGATTAAAACATCTGGGGGGCCAGATGCAGCCCCCGGGCCGTAGTTTGCTCACCCCTGGGATAGGAGCTTAGACCAGCTGGGGAATCCACTATCACTCGCTCCAGCCAGTGCTGTCAGACCATCAAGGGCATCAAACCAACTCACCCGATTTTCATTTACATTTAAAATAAAGAAAATCACCAGTTCTAATTTTACCAAAGGCCCAAGAACCACTGCCAAGGACTCAGCCCTCTAGTTAAAAAGATTTATTAAACACTCATTGTGGCACCAGTACTAATGGCCGCTGCCTCCCAAAAAACCATCAGGCTTCAGCTAAGCAGCAAGGATGCAGGAGTCAGCGAGATGGTTAGTGCTTCTCCACACAGAACAAACCAGAGCAAAACCCACTGGCTATTAGGACGTCGCTATAAAGCGTAGCAAGTTTAGGAAGCAGAAAGGCCTTTGTCTCTTAAACCTGTCATGGACACACAGATTGTGCAAAACATAGTGATTAGCATTGGGTTAATGCACAATCACACCAGCCCATGGGCTGCGGGTATTCAGTAGTTAAGGCTTATAAAGTGCTTTGAAGATCAGTTCTACACAGCCGCTAAGTAGTAGTATTAGGGTGTCATACCCATGTATCGCAGATGTAATACAGAGCAGGGTGAGCAGTGGCTGTCACATGTGCATGCTCAGAGGGTAGTAATGGAAGTCAGAATACATGGTGATGTACCACAACAGCACAGGACAGGTGTGCACTAATGATGTCATACACACCTGCCTTGCATGAAATACAGGAGAGGGTGTGCAGTGACAGTGTCTTATCCACACAAGTCGACTGTAACAATACAGGGTACAAGGCAGGGATGGCATGGCACATACATGCACCTCGGCTGTAATAGCACGTGTGCAGTGATGGTGTAAATCTACTCACACCTCAGGTGCGCTAACACAGCGACGGTTGTATATATAAAAACGAGGAGTCCGGTGGCACCTTAAAGACTAACAGATTTATTTGGGCATAAGCTTTCATGGGTAGAAAAGAAGTGGGTTTTTTT